AAATTTTCAGGTCTCCAAACAAAAAAAGATCTCAGTTTCGTAGTTGGCTATCTTTTGCACAAATACATCTAAATGAGATATACAGATTCATCTAGATAAGGCTTGAAAGTTTAATAACTAATATTCAGTGATATTTCTGGAACCTTTGGCAGTTGGTTGGCTTTAAGCGATTTATTTCATTTGAATAAAATTTACAAAAAAGTTGTCAACTACAAAATTTAAGCTCTATTTTTGTTGAGTAGACCTTCACATTTTCAGTCTTGTTATACGAAATTTACAACATTTTTTGGTCCCGGCCCTTCACAAGTATGCTAATTTCACTATTTCCAGTTCCATGCGGCCACACAATATGTCTGGAATGCGAAAAACAAGTCAAGTTCTGCCCAACGTGCCGTCGCGAGCATACATCTGTTATCAAAATCTATCACTCCTGAATGATCTTTTTGCTGTCATCTTTGTATTTTTTTCAACTTTTTGTTTAATAAATTCTGTTTGTTAATTTTAATATTGTGTAATTTATGTGTTTCGGAGCCAACGAGTACGGGAACCATTGTAAATCAATTGAGAACTAAGAACAAAAGCCTGAAAAAAGAACTGGCTCATATGAAAGAGCTTCTGAAACAGAAGGATTTGCTTCGGAAAATACGGGATCCGTCATCGTGTACGTTTGTTTCTTACAGTTTATGAGCAATTAAGTCCAGGAAGTATGAATTCAAAATGATTGAATCTCTAGGAATTATTGAACTCTAGAACTCAGATGAGTAGTTGAACACTGAAAAATGATATATGTTTAAAATTAAATGATCTCGGATTTTGACAACTTTTGGGCATCACAAAAGTTTGGAATCAGATACAGAACTGACCCAAACTTTTTTTTGGTTACCTATTTTCAGTTTAAAATGGTCAACTTTGGATATATACAAAACATACTAAATTTTGTTCAATAAAACTAAAAATTTACAGGCTTACTAAACATAAATAGAGCATCAATTTTGTTGTTGGCGACTTTTCTGTACAATTGCATTCAAAAGAGATAAACCGCTTGTAACTAACAAAATGCCAAAAGTTTCAGAAATGACTTTTCAGAGGTTAAGATTTTAGACATTTTCATTTTGGAATATTTCATCTGGACAAATTTCCACAAAAATATGTCAACTTAAAATAGATGATTTATTTTTGTTTAGTACATCTGACCCTTTCCAGTCTCCTTCAATCAAACGAAACGGAAAATCACGACAGAAAAGATTTTCAAGAATTTTGAAAAAGAATTTACTGCCTTCCCAATTAAATGTTTTACTGGAAAAAACAAAAGAGTGTAATTTTTGTGCTTGTATAGGCAAGAGACGTATTTTTCAACCGATTTCAGAGAAAAATCGAAGGGACACTTCTTCGGGTACTTCCCTTGTTGAAAAAAATGTGTTCGGAAGCTTGTTATAGACTTGTGGAAGGTCTGGCTAAATATTGGCGCCAACATCCAACATTTTGATCTATCAATCCATGTATGATAAATGATGACAAAAAATCAATTTGTACACTATTCTCATGCTTTTTTTTACACTGTTTCAATGAAGCTTAGCTTATATTTACAGATAAACAAAATTTTTTTTGCAGATTTCACACTTTTTTTCTAAAGAAAATGTTTCAGGTAATGTTTCAGATAAACTAAGTACCCGAAGAAGTGTCCCTTCGATTTTTCTCTGAAATCGGTTGAAAAATACGTCTCTTGCCTATACAAGCACAAAAATTATACTCTTTTGTTTTTTCCAGTAAAACATTTGGCAGTAAATTCTTTTTCAAAATTCTTGAAAATCTTTTCTGTCGTGATTTTCCGTTTCGTTTGATTGAAGGAGACTGGAAAGGGTCAGATGTACTAAACAAAAATAAATCATCTATTTTAAGTTGACATATTTTTGTGGAAATTTGTCCAGATGAAATATTCCAAAATGAAAATGTCTAAAATCTTAACCTCTGAAAAGTCATTTCTGAAACTTTTGGCATTTTGTTGGTTACAAGCGGTTTATCTCTTTTGAATGCAATTGTACAGAAAAGTCGCCAACAACAAAATTGATGCTCTATTTATGTTTAGTAAGCCTGTAAATTTTTAGTTTTATTGAACAAAATTTAGTATGTTTTGTATATATCCAAAGTTGACCATTTTAAACTGAAAATAGGTAACCAAAAAAAAGTTTGGGTCAGTTCTGTATCTGATTCCAAACTTTTGTGATGCCCAAAAGTTGTCAAAATCCGAGATCATTTAATTTTAAACATATATCATTTTTCAGTGTTCAACTACTCATCTGAGTTCTAGAGTTCAATAATTCCTAGAGATTCAATCATTTTGAATTCATACTTCCTGGACTTAATTGCTCATAAACTGTAAGAAACAAACGTACACGATGACGGATCCCGTATTTTCCGAAGCAAATCCTTCTGTTTCAGAAGCTCTTTCATATGAGCCAGTTCTTTTTTCAGGCTTTTGTTCTTAGTTCTCAATTGATTTACAATGGTTCCCGTACTCGTTGGCTCCGAAACACATAAATTACACAATATTAAAATTAACAAACAGAATTTATTAAACAAAAAGTTGAAAAAAATACAAAGATGACAGCAAAAAGATCATTCAGGAGTGATAGATTTTGATAACAGATGTATGCTCGCGACGGCACGTTGGGCAGAACTTGACTTGTTTTTCGCATTCCAGACATATTGTGTGGCCGCATGGAACTGGAAATAGTGAAATTAGTATTTTTTAAAGATTGCATTTTTGAAAAAAAAAACGTTTCATACACGGTGAAACCGGTTAAAATCATAGTTTACCAAGACAGATGTTGCCTTTTGGAAAACATATATAGATGTTGGATTTTAGGCTTGGAACAAGAATTCCTTTGTACTTGGTCGGAATTTTGTCTTTGAGAAGTTAAACATTTTCTGCAGGCCGTGTTGCGAGGTTTACTTCCAAAAAGCTTGTCAAAGTGCGGTTTCTATGTTAGCACATATTGACCTGATGCTCTGTCTGCTTCTTTTACGTGAAATTATTTTATATTTTCACATGAATCGGATTTTTTGGCCGATTTAATTGTGTAATTACGCTGAAGAAGTGCACAACGACGCTCCGATATCCCGCATCGCGTTTACCGTAAATCTACACACAGATTTTCGATGAATTTGCAGATATTTTTGCCTATTTTGTTCGATTTTGTTTGATTTTATACGATTTCATCGGTTATTTTTCTACTTTTTTTACTTGCAAACTCATTTTCATCGTTTCTAGCCGTTTTCCTCAAGTTTCTATCGATAAATTCCACAAAAAAAGTTATTTTAGTCCCACCGATGGACTTCAACGCCTCGCTCGTCTACTTGAAGCTGAAAACCGGAAGTTTTCGGTGATTAGCTACAGGTACGTAACATGCATGGTATTCAGTATGCATGGTATTCCTCTGACTAAAACAAAATTTTTAGGTGAATAACAACAAGCTAATCAAAAACGACCGAGAAGCTGACACTTCCGAATTTCTGCAAATAGCTGCACGTGCTCACGGCACCAATTCGGAGGTTGAAAATCTTGCGTTGGGCGTTGCTTGCCTCACAGAAATGGTAATAACATTACGTTTTGCACTGTAAACCGACAACATAATATTTCAGTTGAACAAAACTTTACGTCGTCTAAAAATAACGGAATCGGATGATTTGAGATCCAATGAACCGTTCGTTAACCCCCAATGCGGGTTCGATCTAGAAGAAGCCACGAATATCGGAGATGTCGTCGTTTTGCCAAGTGACAGGACACTAAAAATGTCAAGCTGCATTTCAGTTCTCACCGCATCTAGTTGGACGTCTTCAAATTATAAAACGGACGCGAAAAGTTTAGTCCGGCACATTTTCACCAAAGTAAGGATTTCTCATCTCTAATTTTTATATTAAAATTATTAATCCCATTCTCATTGCAGGTTGCTGATAAATATCCGTTTTTTCCCGCATATTCCGCTTCTAGCGAATCCAATAGAGGATACACTCCACTAGGAAATTCCTTCTTCGAAATCGTCACAAGTGAGTGTCCTTTGCTTCAATTACCTCGAAAGAGTGTGAAAAAAGGGATCTTTCTGGGAAAAACGGTCCAAACGAGTTTTGCTTGCTCGGATCACGGCTTGTAATTCTCTCTGCTTACCATCAACGTGTCCTGGTTGTGATCCAATGTCCACAGTTTCATCTTCATCTCCTGGAGAAAGTTCGAACCATTATAGGAACATTGGTAATTTGTTGGGACCGTACTACTGGATGCTCCAAGCTGGACGACAAATGCTGGGCAATCAAGAACAGAATGGGCGGATTTCCGATTTTCCTTGATGAGGAGGAGTTCTCCCATTTCGTTCTGGATGACAGAAGAAACTTTGACGCGATGGTACTCTTGGACTCGACTGGTGAAGCAGGAAGAAGACTGAGGATTTCGAGTAGACCGGAGATGCCAGAGGTTATGTATCGTCTGTCAAGATCATCGTTTCATGTTGGAGAAGTATGCGGGAGAGAGGATTGCCAATTGTTCTTCCTTCGCACCGTTCCATTCAAAAACTATCAGGAACCACAGATCTTCTACTTTCCAAAACCGAACAGAAAAATCAATGGAAAGATTCAAAAAGTGGAAAAAGTGGAGACTGAGAATCTGGAAGAAATGGTTCAGTTTGTGAAGGATAAGACTGGAGTTGAAGTTCGTACTATTCCGGAAGTACCACTTTGGATACAGTTCACGTTTGGTCCTGTGATGGCATTAATCCTTTGTTTGTGGAACTGGTTCCCAAAAGAAAGACAGATTTTGAAAAAAGGATTCGCCATCTCTGATTCCAGGTAATTTTCTCTTTTCTAGAAACTTTTCTAAAATCTGTATGTTCCAGAATATGCAGGTCCGTTCTGATTAGTTGGGCTACACACTTCACTTTGTCGGCTGTATCCAATCGGATTTTGACCAATCAAAGCCTAGGAGAAGTCGTGTTGACCAACATTTTGTGAGTTTTTAGGTGAAAAAATGTTTACGGTTTCCCTACACAGAACCACCGGAACCAGTGCATACGGATCTTCTATCATCAGTTCAATGCTATCGGATTGGAAGAACAAGCCATTGTGGAAGTATTTGCTGATCGGCACAGCACTTGGAGGAACAGTTTTCACAGTTTTCGCACATGTTCATGGAGAGTATAACAGCTGGATGGTTACAGTTCTGATCATTTACACAACTTTTTGCAACCGTAAGTTAACCTATTATGAAAATTAGTTCTGAAACCGTAAAAGAATTCCTAAAAAAAAAGGAAAAAAATAGTTTCGAAATCAAGCTGATAAAAGATCAAGGAACTGTGAAACCTGTAATGAAAAAATCAGACTCTCCTTTCCTGAATCCAACGATCTTCCATTATTGAAATATCCACCAAAAACTTATGTTTATTTCTGTTCAAAATTCAGAAAAACCTCCCCCTTTTATTGAGATTTTTTTTCTAAAAAGGTTTTTCAAAATTTTTAGTAAACTCCTGTCAAATAATTTTTCACATACCGTAAAACCTGTAATAGAAGGGCTCCCACACTGTCAAGTTTGAGCTCAATTATCTCGATTCCTGTAAAAGATATCAAAAAGTGGTCAACTGATAAAGTATTGCTGATATTATGATGCATAATTTATCTGTTGACAACTTTTTATATACCTTTTACAGGAACCGAGATAAGTTAGCTCAATATTTGAAGTTAAGGGGCCCTTCTATTACAGGTTTTACGGAAAAAAGTTTCATTTTCAGACCACTGAGCATAATTTGGATGAAGAAAGTGCCGAGGAAAGTTGAAGTGATAGAATGCTGAAAGGACATTTTATGTGCAGTAAAAAATGTGAAATTCCTCCGTTTTCAGTGGAAAATAACAATGTTCAAGGCGTAGAAACGAGTCCCAACTGTCTGATTGCGCTAAAAATGTTCTAATAGTACGAAAAACTTCTCTTCAATCTTTCCAAAAAAAAATTCTCTTCAATTTCTTCAACTTTTCGTTTTCGTAAAAACTGGACAGCTTTGACCTGCTTCTCAGTGTATTTAATTTTTTAAATTAACATATAAACATAATTTATTTTCAATAAATTCATTCTCTAAAAATTCTCTTTTACTCTACAAGAACCTCAATAATTGTTTCATAATCCCTATCAAAATCTGCAAACTTTCTAAAGGAGGCCTAGAATTTTCAGTTCTGGCGGGAACTCAAATATTGCAAGGGGCTTCTCAGAGTTTTCAAAAATAGAAACAAAGATTTCAAGAGGCTCCATTTTTTGAACATTTATCCTTTCCCCTCATGTGAATATATTTTCCTGAACGCTTTTTATGCAATAAACTAAAATGAACTTTATTTTTTGTTGACTTTTTTTCCGTAAAAAAATTATCCGAATGTGATAAGTGTCTTGGAATCAGTGGTTGAACATCATGGGAACTATCGTAAACACTCCAAAAGAAGGCCAACCTATTATTACACTTTCAGCTCATATATTTTCTTTTCTGTGGAAGATGTCAAAAAGTATTCAACTGATAAAATGTTTGTCATGATATCACCAACATTTCATCTGTTGATCCACTTTTAATATCTTTGATAGGAACCGAGATAATTGCACAGGTAAGACGGGATTGCCGAAAAGCGAATGAACGGCGGCTGAAGCTCTTTAAAAAGTTGGCTATAACTTGCGCTATAACTTGCGTTTTTACGGAGAAAAATTTTTTAAATTATGGTCCTATTACTAAAGTTTGCCTTTTATAAAAGGGTATAAATACCTTTTGTCACATGTTTTTCCCCATTCGATTAGATACGCAAGTTATAGCCAACTTTTTAAAGAGCTTCAGCCGCCGTTCATTCGCTTTTCGGCAATCCCGTCTTACCTGTGCAATTATCTCGGTTCCTATCAAAGTTCTCAAAAATGTGTCAATTGACAAAAATTTTATCAGTTGACACGGTTTTCATATCTATCATAGAAACTGAGATGATTCAGCTCAAATTGCCACTATAGGGTGGCCTTCGGTTACAGTTTTTCCATGTTTCTGATTTCAAACGGTTTTTCTTAAAAATGTATATCTTTCATTATTCAAAAAAGAGCACTTTTGCAAACGGTTTTTCTTAAAAATATATATCTTTCATTATTCAAAAAAGAGAAAATTGGCATTTCCACAAAATCGAAATTTCATTAGTGCATAGTGTTGTTGGGTCTTTCCTGCTTCTACTCCTTTTGAAAGAGACGCGGAGAAAGAGGGTGTCGTGCTCTTTTCTCACTTCTCTTGAAGCTCCTCTCATTGATCCCTTCATAAAATGTCATCGAAACTCTTTCCGACCTACTTAATTTTTACATTTCTATTCTCTCTACTTCCATGTTTCCTTTTAAATCAATCTACAGTAATCAGAGACGATTATCGATATATCGCCTTTTATATATTTTTCTACCTAATTTCTTGGCTAATTTGTATCAAAACGCCATACAAACGAAAAGAGCAAAATTTCCGAAGGAATTGATCATTATTCTCAGAAGATGAAGAAAAAGCAAAATACAATGCAATTGGAAGCGATGAACATCGTATTAATTTTAATATTTTTCCAAAACTTGCTAGTTTGCTACCTGCTATTTTCAAATATACATTTCTATTTCTTGTACATGGTAAGTGAAAAATGGTCTAGAAAAACACTAGTCCCCAAAAACCAAAAAAATTTTCAGACCGCCCGTCCACTAATCATCATAATCGGTTGTATCTCCGTCTATTATACTTGCCTGATTTATGAAAAATCAAATGCCTACTTCCACATTTCTGATGTTCTAGAGCCTATCTCTTGGTTCTTATGCTTGGATCTGCAGGGTATTTAGCATGATGTGGGGTTACGGTAAGTGACTTGGATATTATCAATAGAGCGAAATTTGGTTTTTTCAGATCCAACAAGCTATTATGCTTTGTTATGTTCCATTTTATGTATACATTCTGAAAGGGATAATTCTGGTTACCTGGTTCCCATCGGGAATGCATGATTTAAGTTCTGAAGGGGGTTGTTACATGTTTGACATTGACTGAAAAACGGTATAGAGGTGAGGAGCATTGCCCGCAAAATTCAAATATTCAATTTTTTTTGAAAATTTAGGCACACCAGACGCTTATTGTTTTTCAATTTTGGGCTTGGACGAAAATCAAGAAAGTTTGGATGGAGAGAATTGGCAAGAAGGAGATTATGTCTGGTTACTGTAAGTCACGATTAACGAATACTAAACTACAATTTATAACTTTCAGACCATTCTACGTTATATGGATGACTAAAGAAGAAGATTGAGGAAATGGAAATTATGAAAAATCAACTAAAATTTCAAGAATACTCAGGGACTTAAAAATACATATTTTAAAAATGATGATCGAACTCAAAAATTTCAGTGAATAATAAAAAAATTATTTTTTCGTTTTTTTTTAAATTATTTTTTTTAACTCTCTAGGTTTTTGTACGAGAAAAATCGTAGCTGTGGAAGGGAAACGCCGGGGACCGTTGAAAGGTCCTACAACGAAAACTACCGTAACCTAAAAATACATTTGTTTTCCGAATTTGTTATCATGCGTTTTTAGTCAATTTTTTCACTAACAAGGGGAGAAATAGCAGAAAATCGAGAAAATGAATCCGGAAAATAAAACTCTTTTAGGTTACGGTAGTTGTTGTTGTGGGGCCACATCTCTGATTTTTTCGAACTAGAATGATAGCTTTTTGAAGGTTTTTATTACGATCTTGGACAACCTCTAGCGGCTTGCGTAATCTGAAAAACCTGAAAAATTCTTATCAGAAAATTTGTAATAATTGAATACATTGAATGAAATAAAATTTTTACTGAAAATAGGAAAAAATAATTTAAAAATTAAGAAGAACTGGATGTCTTATCACTCGTATTCCGCAATCGATTTGTAGTATTCGGATTGATTAGCAGCTTTGTTGTTGGCCACTTTTGCCAAACGACCTTCGAATCCGTTCGATCTATCCACACCGTCCCATCGATATCCAGGAGGAATATTAAACCGATTGGGCACAAAATGTCCGTGATACGACGGATAGACGACTTCTCCTCGATCAATCGCCGTATCTCGTCGTTTCTTTTTAATCATAGCAGCCATTGGATCCGCAGCATGGAGTACTTCCTTCAAATGTGCATTCATCGCGTCGTCATCTCTCGCACGAGCCATTGGTTCCGCAGCAACTCGTGCCATTTCTTCCAACTGCGCTCTTCGGTCCTCAATCTGAGCAACTCCCTTATTCCACGACTTGTATTTCTCCTTTAATTCTTCTGTTTTCTTCGCTTCTCTCTCCTTTTTCTCCTGATCTTCTTCCTCGTTCTTTCCTTTTCTCTTCGTTTGTTTCTGACGATATACAGTATCCGCGAATCGACCGCTCACCGAACTATCCATCTCTTCAAACATTTTGGAGTTCTTCGCTCTCAACTTATCACTCTCCTCTTTCAAATCTCTCGATGATTGCAATCCGGATCTCTTTCCTTCTAACGTTTTCCCGTAATTCTCCTCATCTGGTTCTTCTTTTTTAATCATTTTCGGTTCTCCGATCTTTCTCGACTTTCTGGGAGGACTCAAGTCATCATCACCGCGTCGACGACGTGGCGGAGATGAATCCCTATCACGTCTTCTGGGTGGAGAGTTGCCAGAATCACGGCGGGAGCGACCACGTGGCGGTGAGTTGTCACTATCTTGGCGTTGACGACGCCGAGGTGGAGAATTGTCTGAAAAATTGAAAATAGGAATTTTCAGTCTTCTACGAGTCCTACCACTATCTCTTCGTTTTCTGTTGGCTCTGGGTGGAGAATCGTCACTATCATGACGCTGACGAGGCCGACGTGGAGGAGAATTGTCTGAAACTATTCGAATAAAATTGACTTTCAAAATGAAAACTTTTACCTTCATCACTATTGTGACGCCTTCTAGAAGGTCTTGGTGGTGAATTGTCACTATCATGTCTTGTTCTTTGCCTCACAGGCGAGTTATCACTATCGTGACGTCTTCTGGGTCTTCGTGGAGATTCATCACTGTCGTGTCGTTGACGTGGCTTTCTTGCTGGCGATGCTCCTGGAGATAATGGCTCCTCTTTGACTTCTTTCAAGGGTTCAACTTCAGCAAAGGATTTCTTAAAACCATGTACGACTTTTGCTTTTTTGGCACTTTCTTTCAAGACTTCAATTTCTTCTTGCTCTTCGTCAGATCCAATATCTTTCGCTTTTGCCGCTTCGACCGAAAGAAAAGCGTCTTCTTCAATTAGTCGGAGGCTGAAAAACAAAACAAAAACTTATAGTGTAAACTATTTATATTAAAATAACAAACCCTTGCGGCTTATCCTTGCTTTTCTTCTTTTTGTTCTTCTTTTCTTGGTCTCCAGCGGCAGGTGTCAGATATTTTTTTAGGTAATCTGCCTTGGATGACATTCCTGAAAAATTGAGAATTTTTGTTGAAATTCAGACGAAAATCAGCTGAAAAATAAAGAAAAAATAATTCGAAATTAAATTTTTTGGCTGCTGGCCGAGTGCTAGCGACAATCTCGGCCACCGATTTTTCTAGGCCATTTCGAAAAATTCTGCGAATTTCGGAATTTTTCAGCTGAAATTCTTAAAATTTCGCGATTTTGAGCAATGGATCAAGAGAAAGAAGAAGTCTCTTTTCGTAAAAAGCTTCTCGATATCATCGAAACTCTCACCGACATCGAGAATATCTCAGAATTAGAAGAGCATGTGAGTTTTTTCACAAAAAGCTGCAATTTTTATTTTTAACTGATTTTCAGCTCCCCCATCTTCACGGTCTCGGTTGGGATGAAGTGATCGAGGAGCGTTTTGTGAATAAGCAATGCGGATTCCCAGCATGCTCTCAAAATCCGCCAAAGAAAACGAAAACTCAAATGTTTCAAATCGACAAAAAAGAGGGGAAAATCTATGAGTTTTGCAAGCAAAGAAGCAAATTTTGTTCCGAGAAATGCTATCAAAAGAATCTTTTCGTTCGAAATCAGCTAGATGAGCATCCCTTGTGGATTACCGGGATGACTGAAACCAGAATGAGTGGGTTTCAAAGATCTTTTTCAAATTTGAAGAGATTTTCTGAATTTTTGCGTTTCAGATAAAAAATACGAGGTGCCTGATGAAACATTTGTGAGTCCAGTGGCAGAGAAAGTGGAAAAAGAAAAAGAATCGATCGAATTCGTCGCTGATTCTGTACGTTTTCTCTTACTATTAGCTCTAAAAATGAAAAATCCATGTGCCTTTTGTTTCAGATCATTGCAAAAGTGCAGAATCTAAAGCTAAACGAGGAGTATCAGGAGCCAAAAGTGCTGGAATCAGATGAGCCGGAAAAGGAGCCGTATAAGTTGACAGAGGACGATAAGGAGTTTATCAAATCGATAAAGCAGTTCAAGACGAACAATTTCGGACCGGCAAAAGATCCGAAAACTGCGCCTAAAAAGACCCCACAGCCCAGATTATCAGAGAAAAACCTGAAAAAAGAGGAAGAGATTCTGGCGAAACTTCGGGAAAAGTACGGAAACAAAAACGCCAAACAGAAGAAGCCGCCGATTCTCATCGATGCTCCAGAATTCCATCGGAAAGTCAAGCATGCCCAATCGTCACTTTTGCACCGCCTGTCAATGAGAAATACGCTTGGCTTCTGGACCTAATGAAGTCGTGGATTACTGAAGAAACACGTCGTCTGACTCGAGAAGGCCCTAGATCACATGGTGGAGACGTTGAGCAAATTCTGATGGATTTTTTGTCTGGAAAGAAAATCGACGCGGAGAAATTGGTGGATTTACCAAATTTGGATAAATACAATGTGAAGGAAAAACGACTGAACATCTTTCTTCATTCCATGAGACATCAGTAAGCGATTTTTAGAAATTCAAAGACATTTTGAATTTTCAGCTGGGCTGATCTCGAAGCACGTCTTCATCTCACTCCAACCCGTCGTGATATTCTGACTCGTGTAGCTGCCACGTTTCATTTGAATGCAGAGAACATCACCGGATGGAATAAGAAAGAGCTCAACACGATTTCAATTGCTATGTTTCTTCTGTAAGCAAATATCCTCTAGAATTTTCGAGTAATTTTCTTTTTTCAGAATCTGCCTCGTCGACGTTGAACTCGGTGACGACTTCTTTAAGAAAGACCATCCCTCTCCCGAGCTCTCCACCGTTTCCATCGATCTGTGCGACATCGACTCATCTGAACTAACCGGTTTATACGAAGCCATCAAGGCTCAATGTGCTTGTTGAATTTTGTGATTTCAAAAAAGAATATTTTATATTTAATCTTATCAGAAACAAGTTGAATTATAACAAGCAAGCGAAGACATAGAAAGGGATTCACCAGGGGGGCAAAAATCGAATAATTTACTGATCGTCATCGGAATTCTCTTCTTCAGAGCTCTCACGTTCGCTATCGAATGTTCCTTCTGGCAGTGAGTAGAGACGAATCACCGGTGACTGTGGGTCCTTCATCAGCAAGTACTTTCCTGGCTTTTGCTTCATGCAACTGAAAAGTCGAAGGATTATAACTTAACTTCAGATTAACCTAACTACCTGTCAATGACACATCTTAGGATTCCCCAGCAGTTATCCATGTTCAAGGCAATGTTACTGGCGAACTCGGTTGGTTTCACGTATTGTGTATTCAGAATCGAGTGGTTTTGGGTGCTTCTGGCGTTGTTACGAGAGACATATCCCAGCTTCATGGTATCCGATCCGGCGAGAAGGGCTTGCAGTGTCCATTTGGCAACCTTTGCTGAGTTGTTCTTGATCTCAGTAGCCATAACAGCTCCCTTCTGAACGTCGAGTTTTGTTCTCCAGTCGACTCCTCCGGCTTGCGAGCTGTCCCACTCGTTGAATGCTTTGATTGTGAGGGTTTGGGTCTCGTTTCCGAGTCCGTGAATGACTCCATCCAATTCAGTACGGCAAACCAACTCAACTGGCTTTCCGTCGACACCGTTTCCAAGGTTCCATTTGCGGTATCTGAAATTTTAAAGATAGGAAAAAGTTTTAAAAGAATATCTCACTTGTAAGCGGTTCCTGTGGCGTCTCCTGTCTCCTCATCTTCAAATGGAACACGAACGTTCTTGAATGTGAATCCTGGCTCATTTCTCTTCACAACCTGCCGACGGAAGTTCTGGTTAATGTAGAAAGCTTCAGTGGCCAGATCTCTGGCGTTGTTGAGGCCATTTCCATCGAAGGATGGTGGCTCCGCGCTGGTTTCAGAGACGGTCAGGGTTTCCACTGGATTCAGAATGTCTTTTGTGTTTCTCTTATCGAAGAAGAGCTTATCTCCGATTCTGTAGGCAACAATATCCCATGAGTAGACAGATCTTGGAGCTGTCATCAGTGTGGCAAGAATGATATCGGTTCCGAAGACGTTTCCGACTCCACCTTGAGCGAGTTCTTGAATCACTGGATCCTCGGTGGTGGTGACGTTGTAGTAAACTCCTGCACATCTTTGAAGTGGAACTGAGTTCTTCACTGAGACACGATCAACAGTCTTATCGTAATATTGAAGACTTCCGTACTGATGATCTCCGATATCTTCTCCTCCCGGAATATTTGGCAGAGCCAATTTGGAGAAAGCACTGAGATTCATTTCCTCGAGAACTCCCCACTCTGGACGGACTTGAACAGATGGAAGACGCTCCTTCGGCCGATCTCCTCCGAAACGTCCACCTTGACCACGTTGTCCTTGACGAGCGTTTCCTCCGCGACGTTGCCACATCTTGAAGGCTCGTTGTTGCTCCTTGGCGATACTTCTCTTCATTCTTAAGTTGGTGGTTTGGTTCACCATCTCACGCTTCTCCACTTCCTTCTGCATCATCTTTCGAAGATGCATTTGACGAACACGGAAGTTGCGTTGTGGATTACGAGCCATTGGTTTCGAAGTGTCGACGAGTTGGAAGTTGTGCTCATCCATTCCGTGGATGTAGTCGAATTGGCTTCCAGCATTGGCAGCGGATCCGTAGACGCGCTCGTTGTATCTGAAACATTTTTTTGTTTGCGAAAACTGGCAACTAAAAGTCAATACCTCTCATTTCCTCTTCGGAAGAAACGATCGACTCCAATCCAGTCAGCAACACGACCAATACGATCGGCTTTGTTGAACTGCTGGAACGGAACTGGCTCCACAGACGAAGAGCTGGTTGTCAATGGTCCCCATCCGGACGTGTTATCAGCCAACGACAATAATTCGAATTTCGGTAGTTCTGTTGTAGCCATACCTGAAAGGAAAAAAAGCAAAATTGTGAAATCCGCAATTTTAGGCCGAGGGGGATTTAAGACGAAGGAACAGAGAATATTAATTTCTTACAGGATAAAAAGAATGTGACCTAATTTCGAAGATTTAGTTTATAACCGAAAGTCAATAAAATCTAGCTCAAAACCGGCGAAAACTCGGAAAACGCGTGGAGAAATTGGAAAAAATTTTGAAGGCAGAACGACGCCAATGGTGCACACTAATTGCGTCAGCATGGCGCAATCCTCGATGTTTACTCCTGGGAAGAATCCGAAGTAAACAGGAGCCAGTGGAAGTTTCTAATCCATATTTTTCAACGTTAAAAATTTTCGAAAAGCTCTAAAAGTATCAAAGTTATGGAAAATATATAAACTATATCAGGAACATAGTTGAAAACCTATCAAAAACTTGTTCCGCGAAGACGTAAAACTGAAAATCTTCTGTTTATAGGAACGGGTTTGATGAATACGGTGCCACAGCGTCAACGCGTCATTCAACTCTACAGACAAATCCTAAAATTGGCCAAGAACTGGAAAGCCAAAGAGGAGCCGAACACCATCACTGAGCGCCAGCAAATTATCGCCGAAGCGCAACGAACATTCAGGGAGCACAAGCAGGTAGCCAGAAGACGTTGTCATCAGAATTCTAGAATTCAAATTTAGGAGACGGATCCACTAATCATCGGCAAGCTCATCTACAAAGCCGAACAGCGTATCGTTCAAGCGGAACACTATGGAATCCCTCACGCCCGACCCGAATACCTTCCGCCTGACACCGCTTATTCAGTCCGCACTAAAACGCAGAACTTCCAAAAAATGTCAAGAAAACGGAAAACCGAACGAGACGGACCCATTCGTCAGTGATAAGGCTCACCAAGAAGAAGAGGAAGATTTATTAATTCAGTTCAAACGATATTTTTGTAGTGCGACTAAAATTCCAGACAAATTAATGGAAAAGCTAGTAGAGAAGTGTAGAGAGAATTCAGAATTCGCTGAAGAACTATCCACAAATGTGAGTCTTTGAAAATTCTTATTTTCTGAAAATTGCAAAATTTCAGGTATTCAATTCCGAAATAGTCACTTCCCATAACATTCGCTACCAATTCCAGACAAATGTTATCAAGAAATTCCTTGCAGCTCTTGAGAAAGATGACGTGCCAGTTCCAGATTCAATGTTTGATCGGCTTGGAGTATTGTTGGGCTTGAAAGACGGAGAATTCGTTGAGAAGCTATATCTAGACGAAAAAGGCGACAAAGTGGTCGCGAAGTTTTCGGAATCTGTCAATCAACTTTCCATGGGAACCACTGGATTATCTGTCTGGCAAGCGTCGTGTGATCTGGCGAACCTGTTCCGGCTGATTCCTTCGAATCATTTTCGAGAGTTATAGAGTTGGGATCTGGGTGTGGAGTGAGTGGAATCGCAATTGCGAAGATGAAGAATTGTGGAGTGGTGCTGACGGATTACGATGAGAATGTGTTGAATTTATTGAAAGAGAATGCGGAGAAAAATGGATTGATTGGAGATGGAGAAGGTTTGGTTTGGTTTTGTGTTGTTTTCTGTGTCTGAAGAGGACATTTTGACTTTACTGAATTTCAACAATCCGCCGAATCGGGGATGGTCGGAACGGAATTTCGAAAATCAATATTCTGAAATCTCCGAAAATTCGAGAATCGTGAAACATTTCATAATTTTGAAAATATAAATATTCTGAAATTTCAGAAAAAAGAGAAAAAATTCGAAAATCGGATTTGACATTTTGGATTTTCGAAATTTCGAAACTTGAAAAATTCCTAAATTTTAAAAATCTAAATTATCTGAAATTCCCAATTTTTGAAAATCGGAATAATCAAAAAATTCCGAAAATCAGAATAATTCAAATTTCGAACAAAAATACTCCTGAAATTCCGGAATTTTCAAAATCGAAGTTATCCGAAGACATCCCTGTTGGGATTTTTGGTTTTTCTAATTTTCAAAAATTGCTGATTCTGTCTGTCTTTATCCCGACCTCAACCCTTCTTTTTTCCAGAAAACTCAAAAGTTCGCTGCCTGGATTGGTGTAGTTTCGATTTAACGGAGTGGAAAGAGCCAGCGGATTTGGTTATCGCTGCTGGTGAGGTTTCTTTTTTCTAAATCTAATTTTTTTACTCTTCATAAAAACAAAAATTATTTCTCCTCTCGGCGAGAAGCTCTCTTCATTATCCTCCTTCTCCCTCTTGTCTCCCCTCTATTCTCTCATTTTCCAGACGTCGTCTACGACTCCGCCCTTCTCTCATCTCTCTGCAACGTGCTCCGTCTTCTTCTTCGTCACTCAAAAGCGGCCATCGTGGCATGCACACTGCGAAACGAGGGAAGCATTTCTTGTTTCGAGCATCATTTGAGTCGGTTTTTTCTCATAAATCTTCTTATATTGACCCATATTTTCCAGAATTTTCGAATCTTGAAGTCGTGGAGAAATTTGAGTACGAGTATGGAGAATATCGTTTAGAAACTACGGAAAATAGTGATGGATTCTACGCCCATCCCTCTCATTTTCCATTCTTTTCCACCATTCAAACCCCCACAATCTTTTTCAATGTTCAGGCAAAGAAATAAATAGTTTTTAGTTTTTCTTAACTTTTGAACATTTATATATTTTTTACGGTTATCTTTCATCCGAATTTGTCATATCTGTGATTTCCTCTTCTCTTACAATTGTTAGCAACGATTTTCTCCTTATTACACCAAAAAAAGTTAATATCAGAATGGCTCCAACCCCATCGACTCCTGTGACTCGTGAGGAGATCGAGACGACGTTTGCGGCGATGTGTACCGAGCAAAAACCGAATCTTTTGAAGATTTCCCAGCTGAAAATGGTACTCCGGGCACTTGGATACGACCCACGTAACTCTACCGTTCAGGAGATGACCAGGAAAATTAAGGATGGAAGAAACATGTTGATGGGATGGCATGGAGGTTTGAAGAGAATATCCAAGAGGTTACTGTAGCTTGTTAATTTTTCAGAAAAAGACTACATGGACGTAGATGAGCTGTGGAACGCACTTCAATCCAAAGACAACGAAGAAGGTCAAGAGGATAAATTCCATGTAGAAATGCGTTCGGCATTCAAACTGTTCGACCCGGAATGCAAGGGAACAATCAATGTGGACAATTTGAAATTTGTTGCCAAGGAGCTTGGCGAGGAGTTGAGCGACGCGGAATTCGAAGAAATGATTCGTGAAGCCGGCGGCGGCGATGGAAAAAGTGGAATCAACGAGGAGCAATTCTTCGAAATTATGAAGAAAACTTGTCTCTATTAAATGTCTCCCAGCTTTTAAAACTCATTTTTATCATCTAATTGTATCATTTTATGTCTTCTCACCCCATCTCGATCTCAATTATTTCCCCTCCTAAAACTGACTGAATCTCGTTGTAATTATTATTCTTGTCTGAGAAAAAAAAGGCTGAGACGCAGAGAAAAAGTGTCTGTGTCTCCACCTTATGTGTGCTATTTAGGCTCTCCGCTTCGATATCGCTACCGTATTCAGACTGCAAAAAATACTCTCTAACCTTTTTTTTTCTCAGATAAGCATAATATTGTGTAAAGATTTATTTATCTGACAAGGAAACCATGTTTAGCCTTCTTCTCAGAATTATTTCTAAATTTGCTCATTTATAGTTTCAAATACGGGCTTTCTTTTAATGTATTTGGTTTTCTGCACAAATTTCTAGAAGTCGAGTTATGGGCTGTTTAAGTGATTTCAGTACTAATTTCTCACTTTTGGAGTGAGTTTTTGGAAGGGTTAATGGGAGTTTTTTGGCATTGTTTGAGTTTCAATCGCAATTTTGAAGGATTCTCTACAATCTGACAAAGTTTCCTCATCTTTCAAAAAAAATTTTTTTGAAAAAATTTTTGCCATGCGTTTGCCATGGTTTTGCCATGGTACCTTTGCGAAATTTTCAATTTTTCGAAAATTTTTTAAATGTGCTAAAATGAATTCTAAACGCATAAAAATGATAAAATGAGTCTTTTCACAAGATTCTGTAGCCTATATCCGTTTTGAAATCTCAAATAACTGGTTTTTTCCAAAACTTCCATGAATCGTAGTCCTTCGAACATCACCCAATAGCACTCAAATATTGTGAAAACATAGATTTACATACTTCTTGACAGATTTATCACAGTTCCGCAACCAAAATGATCAAATAGGGGGGTTTCGACTGACATTTTGAGTAGATAAGGCTTTTCAGCAGTGCTTCAAGAATTTTTCAAAAATTATCTTTTTCGAGCTTTTTTCCTACTGAAATAATAGAGCAAACATAATTTTGATTTTCGAAAAATGCAAAGCATTCCTCCAACATCAAAGAAAAAAAAAGAAAAAAGAAAATGGACAGTGACAGAATCGAACCCCAAACTTGGGATTACTATTCATCCCCACTATCCACTCGGGCACTGTTGCTCGTTTCTTCCACAGTGGAGAATGTATAGAGGAAAGGGGGAAGTGGAAGGGAAGGAGGAGACCAAAAAAACAGCATATTTTCAGATGGACTTTTCTCGGCTTCTAGAAATTTGTGCTGAAAACCGAATACACCACGAGAAAGCCCGTATTTGAAACTATAAATGAGCAAATTTAGAAAAAATTCTGAGATGAAGGCTAAACATGGTTCCCTTGTGAATGAAAGATCATTTTAGACAATTGTTACTGAAGTTTTCAGAAATTCTTGTGTTCTTCCCAGTTTGAAGAAGGTTATCATCAGAGAAAATGCGAAATTTTGGAAATCGACAATCTTGTGAAATACGAAGTTACTGTATTCGTGGCGAAGCCCGACAGACAGTTTTCATCAATGCTCCTTTGAGTTTTGTAATTTTCCATTTGTCCAATTTTTGAACTTCGATTTGTCTCCAACTTCCTGCCCTTTTTGTTGCAATATGCTCTAATTCCAGGGTTTTACAATGCCGATATCTACTCGGAGTTTTAAAGAAACAGAACTTGTCGACTATTTTAAAGAAAAATAACTTGTCGACTTTTTGGAAAAGCGTTCTATCAATTTTTTCGTTTTGGACGAATCTGATGACAGATGGATTCGCGAAACGTTGAAGTTATCAGAAGATAAAGATGAAGATTCGAGCATGAGTGTGGTAGAATTGAAGCCGCTTTTGAAGAGCCTCACTGATTTTGTGGAAAGTTTTGGAGTTTCAAAAAAGTTCTAAAACTTCGCTAATTTTCAGAATAAACGAGAGAATAAACGAATCTATATTCGAGAAGTGTGGATCGCATTAGAAAGGCCGTCTGAAAGAAGAAGAGTTTTCACTGAAGAAGTTCTAGAAATCATTCCTATTATTCTGAAACAACAAAACGCAAGAATTGAAGAATTCAATGGTTAGAAGCAGTGTGTGACTACCGATTGTCACTTACCGGTAACTGCTTTTTTGGTAATTTTATTGGTAATTTACCGGTAAAAATTTACCGAAATTTACCGGTAACCTACCGGTAAATTTGGAAACTAACGAAAATTTACCGGTATTTTACCGGTAAATTACCGGTACGTTACCGGTAAAATTACCGGTAAATTCACCGAAACCGTACCGATAGCACACACTGGTTAGAAGATCATTTATAAAATAAAATTTAATATTTTCTAATTTCAGATTTGCTTCAAAAATATCGTCAGGAATGTATGAGAGATTATGTTCACTACTCAATTAATATGGAAACATTAAATTCAGTTCTGGAAGAATTCAAAATCAAGAAGGGACTTATCACTGTAATCAAAAAAATTAAATAGGTTTTTTTTCGAATGAAATTGATTTTCAGATAGTTTCGGATCCGATTTATGAAATGTCAAAAGAAGATATGTTAGAATATGGTAAAGCAACTGAGATGCGTTTTTCTCCACACGGAGCATGGCTATTAGACTCTTCCCATGCAATTTTCTCTATTTTCCACGATTATTGAAGTGATGAGACAATATGTGAATACTCCTGAGGTAAAATTTATTTCTATTCTATTTCATCGAAATTCCTAATTTCAGGGAGGACTGGTTCCCATCACCTGCATTGACAAAACTATTGAATGGCTCGAAAATCAATGTTACTGGACTTTGGGTTCGAGAGGCACCTGTTTAGATGGCAGAACATCTATAGTTATCGATATAACACCTAATTTCCAATCGTTGTATTATCATGTATATCAACAAGCAATGTACTTTTATGGACTTTCAAACTATCATTCATCTGTTCGTTTCTCGAATGAGGTTTCTCCCGATTGGGCGACAGCAGTGATTCCTGCATGGTTGACACGAGTTTTGTTACTAATTGGATGGACTGAACAATTTTTTGGCAATGAATATGTGGACTTGGCGAATGTGATTCTCCGATTGATTCTGAAAAAAATGCCGGCTGAAGCGAGAAACGGTAGCGCTTCTCTTTTGGTAAGTGGAAATACTGTAAAAACTCTATTAGATAGCCATGGTACTCTATCGTTTTGAAGTGATCTGGGTGACACTGTATTAGAGGCTGCTATTCAAATTCGACCTGGAAAAATTTTAGTTCTCGAAACAAATAACTTACAGAAAAGCGTTCAAGCATCCATTGCTGGGCTAAACAATTGTATTTTTCTCGAAACAAACTTGCGTGCGAATTTTACTACAAACAGAGAAGAACATGCTTCTTAAGCCCATCGGAAGATGTTGAGGAAAGGGCCGAGAAGCTTCGAAAACGGAAAGAACAATCGAAACCGAATAAAGTTAAGAAGCCGTCCACGAATGTTGCAGGACTTATCAGAGAGACAAGTGAAGAACATCCCCCGGCGGATGAATTGTTTGGAGCCTCATTTCTACACAGCCAAGAATATCCAGAATCAAAGTTAACGATCACAAGAACCAATATTGATAATCTTGCTACAATCACCCACGGACCCATGACTCTTATGCCTACTCCCTATGACAAAGAGCGAGAGTTTGGAAACGCTCCAAACGTATTTTTTTTACTGGATAAGACTGAAACAAAGGGGGTTATGACAGAGGATGAGCAACCAAAATTGAATGTGGATGAAGATCTTAAAACCATCAATGAGTTCCAAAAAGAAGAACAAGAAATTGTTGAGCTGGAAGAAAAGGATGAGCTGATTAAAGAAGAACCGATTATCATGGCAGAGGACGATGATAAAACATTAAAGGTCGATGATAATCCTAATACCATCGATAAGTTCCGAAAAGAAGAAGAAGTTGTTTTTGCTATGAAAGAGAAAGATGATCTGGAAAGTGAGTATGTGAAGGCGTTGAAAAAAGAAGTGGAAAGACCGAAGGAAAAGGCCAGAAGAGTAGATGAAATGGAGAAAGAATTGACTGAAATAAAACGACTTCAGTTGAAGTTGATTGAGAACACGGTTCGGAGAGAAAGTAAAGGTGACAACCAGTAGATGGGAATCAATCTTGAACGGGAAGAGTTGACTAAGATGCTCGATGATCTAAAAGATGTTATAAAAAGAAAAGATGAGACAATTGAAAATATCACCGAAAAAAATGTGAAATTAACGAAGAAAGTAGATGAATTGGAGAATGATCTCAAAAGTCTAGAACTTGAAGTCAAAAGATTGAAGAGTTTCAGGCGGGCGGCAGATGAAATGAAGAAAGAAAAAAAAGGATATATCTTTGAGGTTGAAAGATATAAAGAAAAAAAGAGATTCGGATATGAAGAGGATGGAGGAAGAAAAGAAGAAACTGATGTGTTCATTAGATGAAAAATCCCGGAAGGTAGAAGTCGTAGAAAAGCAGATGAAGTTGAAAGATTCTGAGATGAACAAGATGAAATCGGAATTGAGTAGGCTGAAAAAGCAATCAGAGGATCAGGAGAAGATGCTGAAAGGGAAGGAAACAGTCATTGAGCAATTGGAGTTAGAAGTGGAAGACTCAATATCTAGAATTTCTGAAAAAGAGACGGAAATCGTTAGATTGAATAATGAATTGTCGAAATCCACAGAAACGAATGCAATCACAGTTTTCGACTATCAGAAATATCTGTGATCGATTTTTAAATTCCGCGGATAGCGAAGAAACACGACAGTTTAGAATCACTCTTCAACGTCTTCGAAATATTAAGGATCGATTTCAAAATAAAGAACAACTAAAGCTAGCAAGAACAATGACTGATAAGTGAGTCTTTCGTCTCATTTCCTATAAATTATTGACTAATTTCAGATTGATCACAATGCCGAATCGATTGGAAATTCGGGAATTAACACTGTACGAATATCAACAATACGAAGCGATATTCCAAAATTACACACAATTAGTGGATTTGAATATTCAGGAAATGAAGGAAACAAGAGATTGTAGTCTCTATTCTCCACTTCTAAAACCACCATCATTTTCTGATCGATTTATGAACGAATACTGGATTGAATGTGATAATGAAAAGAAGAAGGAATTGGAAGATATCAGTGATTCCGAACGTTTCATTTGCTTCATCGAAATGAATTCTGATGAGAAGACGTTGAAATGTGATCATTGTAAAAAGACCACACATCAAAAAGTGGGGTTTGACATCACTTTCTAAAATGAAATTATGGCAATTACTCTTTGACTACACTACTCTTTGACTCCACATTCTCTTTGACTACATAGCCTCTTTGACTACACTTTTCTCTTTGACTACACTTGTCTCTTTGACTACAAAGTCTCTTTAACTACACTTTTTGAAAATTTGAAATTTTCAGCAGTTTTTGTGGGTATTCTTACAGAAAATGAGAAGAATTTAAGCCTAAGCCTATAATTTTAAACAAAAAACTGACAATTACAAAAAACATCAAAGTGAAAAAAAGTACTGGAATTCGAGAAAATCAGCGAAACTATCACTTTTTCGCTGAAATTTCCAAAATTTTATTAGTTTTTGTCCAAATCAAAGGCTTAGTTAGGCTGAAACGGTTTGCCGGTAAACAGGTGTTTCAGCCTAAGCCTATATTCTTTATAAGACAAAAAACCAGAAATTCCAAAAAAATTCAGTCAAAAAGAACTATAAAACGATAAAGTGTAGTCAAAGAGACAAGTGTAGTAAAAGAGATAAATGTAGTCAAAGAGACATTGTAGTCAAAGAGAATGTGGAGTCAAAGAGCAGGTGTAGTCAAAGAGTGGTGTTGTCAAAGAGTAATTGCCTGAAATTATTTTTTTAGTGTGCTTCGAATTGGCTCCAAATCCATCAATCATGTCCACACTGTCGAAGAGAACAGTTGGATCCTGAGGAGTTGCCGGCACTTAGTTAACTCATTTTCTTGTTATCTGTTCGAAATTTAGTTGGTTTTTGTTCAAGTGAATTTGTTAATTGTTGAATAAGAAAGCTTTTATAATTCTTTGACATAAAAAATTACAATTTTTTGGATACGGTTATGTCGAGTTTTAAAAAACTGACACCTGAGAATTTGAAAATCGTCGCTTTTTTTGATCTACGAAAAAGTGCGGCAAAACCGTAATATTTCAGACTTTCGCCTCGTTCTAGCCACTTTCGCAATTAAGCTCGGTTTTGCGATACAAAATGGAGTCTAGAAATTAGGGTCTGTTAGCGATCATTTTCATAGCAATAAATCTGAATTCGGTCGAGAAAATCGCCGAATTCACAGATAAAAATTTTTCATTACAGTATACCGACTTTGGGGTGGAGCCTCGTAAATCAACACGAACGCCGCCCGCGAAACTTTTCAGGTTTCAGTTTTTAATTCGACAATAAGCAGTTGCGTATTTCGTTTCTCCCGCTTTTGGGTTTCTCTCGATTCGTACGGTCTCACTTGGGGTCCCCAGAAAGCGGGTCAAAAAAAGGCGCCCCAGCAAACTCGTAGGCCAGAAGAAATTTAATAATTTTAAAATGAACGCGGGTTTGATCTAGATCATGATCTATTTCTTCAAAATCACAGGGTTGCAACGCGCGCTTTTTCGCTCATCGCTTAAATCTTTGATCCTCACTATCAGTCAACGAATTTCGGCAGCGAATTCATAATTTTTGCGGAATTTACTGGGTCGCGCTTTCTGACCCGCTTCCTGGGACCCCAGTGCGGGTCTCCTTTTTTTTCAAATCAATTTGCGTTCAAAACTGATAGGTATTTTTAGTTTAAAGAGCATTTATACTTTTCTTTCAATAAAGAAAAAAGAGAAGAAATGGATACAGAGCAAATACAGAAAAATATATAGAATCAATCGTTGATCATCGTTGTGTTTTGGGGGGTCTTTGGATGTATTGTTTTCGGGAAAAAGGAATGTGAGCGGAAAGTAAAAATGAGTGGATAATAACGGTACAGATAAATCAGTGAAATCAGTGAAAAAGGGGGCGGGGGGCATCGATGCTTTTCTCAAATTGTCGGGGGCGATGTTTTTCATTCAAATGAGGAGAGGACGGGGAATTCGGAGAAATTGGTTACCCATATTCAAGTGTGTTTTTTGTGTGTATCTGCGTGCTATAATTTAGAGGGATCGGGATTTGTAAAATAGTACAGACATGGGAGAAAAGAAAAAGATAAGAATGAAATTCCGTTATATGTATACATATATGTTTTGGATCAACCAATTTGAAACAAGAGACATGAAGAAAATCGAGGAATTACTACATGAAAATTACATGAGAAGGAGACAAACTACTGTAATAGCTTGAGATGGGTTTTCGCAAATATGATATGGGTGGATGGATTATAGGGGGTTACTGTAGATTCAGTCATCCGGATTCAGAATCCTCGCTGACTTGACGACGTGACGGGAGTGGCGAACAAGAGGCACACGATGATGACATTGAGGAGATGAGAGCACGAGCACGTCTCCAAAGACGACGTGGTGTTCGAGAAGTTCGTCGAGATGGGGAGACACTGTCACTACAGCATTGTCCATTGGTTGGGTTATCAGATGGCTTCAGAAGTGCCACGTTTTCAGCGGACGCATTCTGGAACGACTCCTGCTTCGATGGAATGTCCCTCATATCGTCTTCCTGATAGTATTCGTTATTTTCACTTTCTTGCTTTTTATCCTGATCTGGATGGTATTCATTGTGATAGTCGTTGTGATAATCGTGAGTGTCGCCTCGATTCTCTTGCTCTAATTTCGCCTGAGCCGCCTCTTCTGCCAATTTTCGATATTTCACGATACACATCGCCTTATGCTTCTGCATTGTTCGAATTTGTTGAAGTTGTCGAATCGGGCAATGAGCAGGAACTGGCACTTGGTACGGTTTATCGTATCCATCGAATCGATGGTCCAGGATATCCTGGGTTTGTGGGACGACACTTCCATTCGCGTACACTGGCTCGAATCGTTTTGAAGCGATTTCTGCGGCACGTGCATCCTGTTTTCGCACTTTGTCGTAGATCTGAAAATCAAAATTTGATAGAGAATTTCAAACTTTTTTTTGTTTTTAGGACTTACTCTTCGCTCTAAAACATCGTCTTTGAGATAATTCAAATCATTTCCAAATGCTTTGTCATCTCGAACTTCATCGTCTAGTGCCATCCAACACAGATGATTCGCCTCGATTGCCTCGGCTGTCGTTCGGCCTTCAGGAACCACGTTGGCCAGAAGTCTGAAAAATTCAGTAGTTTCGAATGTCCACAATCCTTGGGATCCCATATTAACTGTTTTCTCTTCAGATCTAGTGTTACTCTTGGGATCACCGTAGCCTTCTTAAAAATTGAAAAACATAACAACTCACTGAAACACGGGAACTCCAATTTTGTATAAGAAATCAATCTGCACCGTCGGAACATATGCATTCGACCGATCCATCATTTCCAATGGTTTGACTCCCAATTGAAGTTCCAAATCTCCTTGCGCAAAGAATTCCAAATAGATATTCTGAGCAATGAGTTTGGCGTTATGGAAGTTCTTAGCCTGATCAGAAAGATCCGATGCAGTCATGACAAGAGACATCAGAAGATACCGATGATCAAAAGACATTGGATTGTATCCCTCAGCGATCATCGTCTTAATCCGTTCTTGTTTTTTGAGATGAGCAGATATATCCGTTGCCAGAATAACATCTCGAATCGTATTGACTATCGTTCGGAAGTCTGGTCCTGGAATATTCTCCAATATCGAACATTCCTCTTGTTGCAACAGTTTCACGGTCTGCGCGTAATGATGTCTCTCGAGAACACTTCCTTCAGTGCTATAGAGAATTGAAAGCGGTGTCTTTTGGAGGGATTGCATTTGGAATGAATTCGTTGTCCCTCGATGATCAATATCGTGACAGAGGCATGCAATAAGAAGCGATAACCGTTCCATATCATTCAGTGCACTTCGGATAGCTTCAGTTCGGAGAAGGAGCCAACAGAAGTGGGTTACAGCGAAGGCGTGAGACCAGTTATGATAAGGAACTGGACGATAGCCAACGGAGACACGGAGAACCAAGAATGAGAGTTTTCGTTTGTTGATTTTGTATTGCATCGAGAATCCCAAATCTTCGAAGAACATCATCGATGCTTTATGGAAGTGATTCTCTCCAACCGAACGTGGCGGAAACGAGAAATCGGCGAAATTCTGACTGAAATATCGCCAATCTCGCAGCGGATCGTTCACGAGCCGACCGATTTCCACTTCTTCTATCTGAAAGTAATAGAAGATGTTTAGCTCAAATTTTTTGAAAAAACATACCACAACATCCTCTCCCTGTACTTTGAACTCCTCAACCATGTGTATCCTCGTCTCGACTTCTTGGATTTGTTTCGCCAGGATTGCCTATAAAACATACGTTGTTGGCCGGAAACAAGAGAATCAGCTGCTCAAATATATGTATTTGTAGCGAGCACAAGGCAAAAGTACGAAATTCAAAAAGGATCGCTAGATCAGTTTCTACAGTAATCCAGGATTAATCTTGTTTTCCCTCAGATCGTTTGAGGGATTACTGTAGCTTTGAAAAAAAAAGCTTTTTAAATATCCTGGTTCTACAGTAATCACAGATACTACTTTTGGGTTTACTGTAGCCGTTTTTAACAGTAAAAATATCAGTATCTACAGTAATTTAGGTGCTTTTGGGAATACTGTAGCCTTGAAAAAATACATTTTTAAAAGGCTTCTGATTCTACAGTAATCCTAAGTGGTAATTTCGGGATTACTGTAGCTGTTTCCAAAAATGGAAAAAGAGCAGTTCCTACAGTAATCTGAAATGGTATTTTGGGATTAGTGTAGCATAACTTTCAAGAAAAAAAACATACCCCCGCGACGGCATTGGCGACGAACAGCGAGAATCGTTTGACGTACTTCTCGTCGTGACGCGTGAATCCGCCTTCCTTGTTGTACAAGACGATCACTCCGATGACGGCAACTGGAAAAAAAACAAAATTTGAGAATTTGAGATTCCTAGATTACTGTATCTTGCACTTTACCGAATTTTTGTACTTGCCATCTCTTATTTTTCGATAAAAATTTGCACTTTTCTTTTTCTTTCCAGATGTTTTTCTTTTAAAATCTGTTTCGTTGAAAGAGATTTTTCTTTTTCTTTTTTCTCTTTTTCCGTCATTAGAACACAGAAAAAGAGATGGAAGTGAGTCATTAGGAAATGATCATGATTCAGAATCAAAAAGATCTAAAATCATGAGAAAATTGTAGAATCGTTTAGAATTTTATATCATGAATGTTCGGAATCGCCTTTTTCGGAATTTTCCGAGTTTCAAAATTATGGAATTTCAGCCCATTTTGATTTTGAAATTTTTGAGCTTTCTGGACTACGGTATTTCAACATTTTGGGTCTCGAGCGGAAATACTTTGAATTTTTTGGCGTTTCTGAAATCTTTTGGTCACTTTTTCATCAATTTTTCGCGCATTTTTGATGGGGAACCCCGAAATAATTTTGACTCGGAATTTTCGTTATTTTTTAAAATTTCCGAATTTCGGGAAACCCTGATTTTTAATTTTTGGGAATTCGCCTTCACGAAAGGGCACATTTCTCGCATTTCCGTGATGGGATATTTCGAAAAATTGAAAATCTGAATATTCCAGAATTTCGAAATTTTCAAAAGTTCCGAAAAATTCCAAAAAGGATGTTCCGAAAATCCCTGACAAAATAGTTTTTTATCAGACAAAAAAAATTCTAGAACCCCATTTCCAAATTATTCCCATAATCCTTCGAAAAAAAATTTCCGGAAGACATTATGTTTTGTTTGTCTACTCTCTCCCTTCCGTCTCGTCATTTGTTTTCCCATTATACTGATATTTATGTCATCGTCGTGGGATCAAGAGGAAGAGAGAGAGAGAGTGTGTGTGAGAACGAGAGAGACGCAGAGTGTGAAATGGATGAAATATGTGTTTCTCTGTCTGGGTCTAAAAATTGGAGTCACATTCATTGTTTTTGGAAAATAGGATCAAAAACTAAAGGGAACTTTCAAAATTTCTGAAAATCGGGAATTCAGATCTACCGTATTTTTTTCAAGTCAACTTCGAGCTCAACTTTCTCGATTCCTGTAAAAGATATCAAGAATCTGTCAACTGATGAATTGTTTATTATTCTGATATCACCAATATTTTATCAGTTGAAAAAAGTTTGATATCTTTTACAAAAATTGAGATGATTGAGCTCAAAGTAGACGGTTTGGACGCCCTTCTATTAGAGGGAATACGGTATTTTTTAAAGTCCAAATTCATTAAAAATTTCTTACTCGTATTGTCAACCAATGGAAAAACGAGCATCTCTTTTGGCTTCACACCAAACTGCGCATCGATATCAGGATTGAAAAAAGGACATCTCGCCACGTCACGAATGTTCATCGCTCGCATCGTTTTCAGAACACGACCCACGATTCCAGATGGTTTCGGATATCGTCGTCCAGTCATTAGCATCGTTTCATTGTTGAAAAGCACCAGCTGATGGTGGTCTTCGTCGTGGAGGAAGACTGCGTAGCTGAAAAGGATGCACTTGTGCTCTGTTGGACTCTGTGACTATTCAGTAAAGCGCGCATTCTTCAACAAAGCAAAAAAAACTCACTCTTCAGACCCCGTATTCTGCTTGGCTTCTGCTATAATATGACTGATGAGCGCGTTCAAGTTCTCTGTCAAGCACAGAAATTTATCGAAAATCGACATGGGGACGATCGGAGACAGCACCGTCCGATCGGATCCTGTCGATGTCACCGAACACGTGTCGTCGAAATCCTCCATTTTTGATAACGTAGCACTCGGTCGACTCAGCTTTCGAACAATTGGGACGTCAGGAAGAAGTTCGGAAAGGAGACACGAGGATGTCTGAAATCCTTTTTTTTTTGGAGCGGAAGAGTGGGCGGAGCTTCGGTTTTTTTTTGAACGAGGGCGTCAGGACTACAAAAAGCGCAAAAAAAGAGGCAAAAAAGAGGCGGAGCTAAAATATGTCGTATGACGTGGAATAAAGGCAATAAAGAGAGTTTTATGAGATGATGGCTGTAATGATGAGTGAAACAAGAAGAAGAGAATGTTCGTTAATCTAGAGACATTAAATTTTAGGGTTTCCCAAAGATTCTAATGTTTAAATTTTAAAAATCAATGGGATCATTTTTAGTGAGTCATTTTTCAAAGGATATGGACTTTTGAAGGGGCATTTTCGAGAGATTTCTCTTGAGGTCATGACAAGTTTTCAGTGTCCCAAAATGAGGTCGTCACGCAGCTGTCACGTACCGGCTCTTCGATATCGTATCTGAGTGATGCTCCCCAATCGTCCTTGGTTCCTCGATTCTTCAATTGCATTTGAAGATTTCGATTTCGGGTTTCGTTGTTGTTGAAATGCAGTGGGGGATGCGATGTTTTACGCCATACTGTCGGACTCGCCGATGGTTCCGACGGTGATTTTGCTGCGTTTGCGCCGGTGAATACTGAAAAAATTGAAGATTGTGGAGCTAGAAATGCACGAATTTGAAAAATGATTGTTTTTTCACGATTCCTTTAACAGAGCGAGATTGCTTCAGAGGTGTTCGGAATGGTTTTTTCGGAATGTCGAAAATTCCGATTTTCAAAATTTCGGAATTTCGAAATATTATGAGGGTTGACGGAATTTGAAAAATTCCCGGGATATTTTTGAAGATTTTTTTCCGAATTTCATCTTTTTGGACTACGGTAGTTTCCTTGCAGCGAAATCATTCCGAAATTTCGAGAATTTGAAATTCCGAGAAGACGCCTTTCCGAACATCCCTGAATAAAAATCCAAAATTTGAAAATTCTAAAAATTCCAAATAGAGCACATTTGTTTGCTCACCAGTCATGCCTCCTCCTCCACAGCAAGTCGATCCACTGGCGGCTTCGTGATGATTGTGATGAGGATGATGGAGGCCGTCACCTGGAAATGAAGAATTGAATGTGACACGTTTTTTTGTGCTGTTTCTTCTTTTATGTATGCATGTCATTTCTCTCGCTTCTCTAGATTCTCTCATCTCTAAATTTTCTGTGTTTTAAAAGCGAATGGGGGAGGAGTTGAATGAAAACAATCGGCGAATTTCGGTTTTTTTTTGACACAGAAAAAAATAATGGAAAAATGTTATGGGAAAAAACAGTGGAAATTTGGGAACGGTTTCGGCCGGGGCTTCGGCACGTATTTAGTCTTTGAACTGTTTGATGAATAGGGGGAAGCGAAAAAACCCCCATTATTGATGGTCGATTTTCGGGATTTTAATATTTTTTCAATATAACCAAACCACCAACGGTTTTTCGGGAATAATATTCCTCTAGTAGGAAAAGAGAGAGGAGATCAAAAGTTCATAAACCAATCGGAAAAGTAGAGTAAAAATGAACTGAAAATCAAACAAATATTTTCAAATTTCAGTCAATTTTAAGTTTTTTTCATTATAATTTTTTTTAAATTTATTGATTTCTGGACAAATTTTTCTGATTTTTTTGAACTTTTCGTCGAAGTTTTCGAGCTCTAAAATTTTAAATTTTTTTCGATTTTTAGCTTATTTTCAGCCGATTTCCTGGGACTTTTTCTGACAAAAATAATATTTTTAGACAGAAAATCGTGATTTTTACGTTTTCTGAAAACCCTTTTTCTAGCAGTCAAATTGCGATTTCAGTGAAAAATGAGCTGAAAAAACTGGTTTTTTTTTCATAATTTTCAAAATCCGAAAAATTTCAAAATAATCCTTATAAGCTTTTCCGTATTTCCAAAACTGGATTTTGTGATTTTTAGTCTCAAAATCAGAATTCTTGATAGTCTAGAAAACCGAGATTCCGTGATTTTCGGATATTCAGCTAGCCAGATTACGAGAAAATGGGATTTAATGAAAATAAAGATAATGACTAAGCGAATCTCAATATCTGTCCCTCTGTGTATCCCGATGTCAACTTACCTTTGTGTGAATTTAAGTGAGTGATGGTATTGTTGATGGTTGTTGGAGAAGAGTTTCGACGCAATTCTAGCATAGAACATGCGATTTTTTTACGACGCGGCGACGACGAACACGATGAGGATGAGTAGTAAACGAATTCAGTACAAGTAGATGACGTGGAATTCGGTGGTAGAGGTGGAGCAGGAAGGAATCCCGTTGACGATCGACGGCGTTTCGTGGCTATTTTGATAGTTGGGGAGGCGAGGATTGTTGAAATTTTGAATTCTTTTTTATTCGAGTTTTTTTATTGCGGGATGATAAAACTGCTGCTCCTGGTGCTCCTCTCTTCTGAAAAATTTTATACTTGGAATACAAATTTTAGATTTAAAGAGGTCGAAAGACGTAGTAGTGAATAACAAGATAAAATAGCAAAAATCCTGACATAAAATGACAAAAAACGGGAGCAGAAAGCACTGGTGGGGGAAGCCTGCCTGCTCTTATTCCCCAATGGCGTTTTCAGTGTTTTCTTCTATATATTTTCTGCGTTTTTTTGACTGACTGGTAGCGCCCGTTTTAAGAAGAGAGAGGTGAGAGAGTGAGAGACGCAGATAGTCAGAGATAATAGGAGGTATGGATTCGAGGGATTTTAAATGAATGAAAATCCATTTGGAATAAATATATTGGAAGAAGGAGAAGAATAAAAAGAGGAAGAGAAGGAGAGGGAAGTGCGCGAAAACCCATGAATGAGATAGTGTAGGCTGAGGAGAGACGCAGAGAGAAAAAAGTAATTGGATCGGCGACATCTCTCAGAAAAAGAACAAGAAAAAGAAGAAGAAGAAGAAGGAAGCGCTTCTTCCTCTTCTTATTCTTCTTATTCGTTTCTTCCGTTCTCAGGAGAGTATGTTATTAGAAGGATTAGTGCTGAGCAATCCGAATTTCAGATTCCAAACTTCTAGAGGCTTTTCTCCAGAATTTTCGTTCGATATAAACAAGTTAAGAAAATAAAAAAGAAGTCAGGAAAAGAAAAAAGAAGTGACAACAACATACTACTCCACACAACCACCACAAATGGAGATGGCAGGTGATCAAAGCGAGAGGTTTAGGAGAGAGAGAGAGAGAGAGAGAGAGAGAGAGAGAGAGAGAGAAGCCAAATTAAATTTAGAAGAACCGAGAGCACATTCTCTATGTGTGCAGGTAGGCGTAATGGGCGGGGTGCAATGAGCACAGAATTGTATTTTTGAAAAAGATGAAAAATGCAATTATGCTAACAACTTTTATGGGTGGTGTACGGTGTTATCCGATGCCTGACG